TATGCATTTTTCTGAGAGAAGTTGTAGGTTAATCACTCTCGACTCACCTCTTCATCTTTGAGAGTCGCTGGCCAAACATAATACAGACGTATGACTAACTTAGCAAATTTTTTATGACAATCAAGCTACAGCTGAAGCCGTCCGCTTAAAAGCTTGGTACTGGTTTATCGCACTTTTTTCACTATACGAAATGAAAACGGTTTATTTAGAAAAAAAACACAGCCATGAACAACTTGTGCCTAAATCTAAGAGAAATTTAATTTCCAGCAGAGTAGAGCATTTTGATACACACAGAAACGAATCCATATATATCGTATGTCACTCATGATGCGTACATTACATGGATTAACAAAAGACTAAAGTTGAATTTCTTACGTTTTATGTCAGAAGAGCCGATTAATCGAAGAGTTAATTATGGATACCTAACGTTTAGTAGAGCTCGCTGCTACAAAGGTGCACCGATCCTTTCGGACGATCATCCATCAGTCCATGCATAGATACCTGATGCAGAACAGTAATGCTCAGGTCGGGATAGGCAAACGAACAAACAACATCGAGTAAAATAGAACAAGAGCGCTCTTGCTACACATGACTTAGTCATGACGGGAATGCTCATTTATCTAAGCACACGTCTATTATCAGTAGGATGTATCGTGCCAAGCATTTCAAATATTGCCCTTCTGACCGGGGAATATTGTCTTCTTTGCCTGCAGATTTTACCCGCTGATCTTTGTATTGACTAGGTGTACGTATACATGGCAGAGTTCATTTGTTGCGCAGGGTGGCCTTCCGACTGGTATGCGAACCGTATAGGTAAAATCATAGCACTGAAAAGATAGCAGCTAGACATCCGAATGAGAGAGCAAATAAACAAATACTGCTTATAAATAATTGCATTGAAATTCCAATTACTATAGGTTGAATATAAACTATGTTGAAAAACAGATTGATGCCTCTTCGTATATTATTCAAGCTTTAATTATACGAACGGTATACATGATTTACTAATACCTATACGATCGGAATTTTTTCTGTGCACTGTAGGCAGTTTCCTTTGACAATGTCTCCCTGATGCATACGGCTCCGGATCTGCTATGAAATAGTGTTTAAAATAAAAGGGAATCTAGTTAATCTAATAAAATTAAATCAATTTTTTGCGTCAAGGATATTGAAGATTACGTTTGCACAGATGGACAAATTATGTAAGCCAGCCTCGTTCGACAATTTACAAAACTATACGCTTCACAAGATCTGCAACAATTGGAGTTACAAGTCGTTATACGTTCGTAAACGGATAACGTAGCACGGAGAATGCAGATGCATATTTGTAAATATGCTCTCCTGAAGACAATAGCATATTGTATAACTGATTTCCTAAATGAGGGCACAAACCAAAGGTCTCAGAATGCAGAGATCGAAGACTCTTACTTGACCCCTCTATGAAATCCCTGCTATCTTATACCTGTAAACTGACTCTTAGCAGTGTAATAAAACGGGATGTATAAGCATGTTGCCTCAAGCTGAGCGAGCCCTGCCTGACGCCTAAGAATACACTTGATTTATTTTCGGCTTTTCTTGTACCAACGAGCCCTGGTTCTTTTGCGGCGTGTCCAACACGTATTTGTAAAACGGGTGCGACATTGATGTGCTGTTGCGTAAAATAATATAGCGATATAGAACAAAAAACTTATCCTAAAAATTTAAAGAGAGCTTGATTAGCGGCAAAAAATCTTTGACTATTTTGTTACAACAACCAGTAACCTCGCTTAATGGATGCTGCATGACCTCTGGGAATAGTCCTCAATGAGGTTGCCAATATACCTTTCTCTGGCTCTCGGCGCCACGATTGCGACCGTTGCAACTCTCCCTTTAATTGAAGGAGATTTGTGCTGTAACTTTTACAATTTTCGATTGTACTACAAAGTGTTCTTGCTATCATTGTCTGTGGTGCATGATACACTTGCCCATAAAGTGGTATATTTACAGAGGCGGTATATCAAGCTGGCGATGATGATAGGTTAAAGAACTACGCCCACCTGTACACGCGTTTATAGATACGAGGACAACAGTAGTTTTTCATTCGCGCTTGTCAGTAAATTTATAATTGAATCTCTCCAAATATTTAGCAGTTCCTTAATTATCAAGGGTCTTCTCGTGAAGAAGTGTAGTACCTACTGGTTCATAGTACTCTTTGTAGAGCATTTTTATATGTTACTGCTTGTAATATGCATATATATATATATATATATATATATATATATATATATATATATATAACATTGTTCTGACAACATGTAGAATCTAAACTGATTTTACCAAGAAGTAGTTAAGTATAGGCTCTATGTTTGTGGTCCATTAAAATCGTTGTTACACATTGTTTAATGACATACCAGCAAAAAGTAGACTACATTTGTACTTTTTTTTTATATGTCTTAAAACGACGGGTGTTTATATATATATATATATATACGTATGTACCAAGATTGGCACTAAATTTGTTTGTCGTAACAAGTATGCTTTCATCCGCTACTTCTAGCGCTGGCGAAAGTCAACTCTTTCTACAACAGAGCAGCAGACTTATTACAGCGAATAATAGCGCGTCGTTTTTCGAATCAGCGCGAAGACAGTTATGACCCAATTTCCGCCCGCTAGACAAACTCCCACCGAGATTACAAACGTCAGAGCTCACTCCAAATCCGCAGTGTACGGCCTCGCAAGTTACCATACGCTCGTAAAATAAGAAAGCACAAGTCGGTTGCAGCGTAACATGGTAAAAAAAAGGCCACGACGGTACGCACTTCAAAGTTAATCGCCGCTGTCAGAAGGTACATCTCTAGAGATTCTTCTGCTTCGATCAGGCTGTTGGTAGAAAAATTTTATGTGAATCGAATGTAAAATGTCGCAAATTGTTTATAAACATTTTAGGTACATATCGAAAAAATAAAATACTGGGAAAAATGAAACCGAGAGACTTGTCTGCCATTGTTTGCTACCCAATTCAGACTTTCTCTGACAAGAATTTTGTTACTTTTGAAGCACGAGTAAACCACTGACATTATTTCTTACTATCCAAAACATGTCCCTATCGTAGAAGCGCATGTTCCGTAAAGTTCATATTTTACATGTACTTTACAATGAAAAGAACGGCATGCTGTCATGCTTTTTTTAGAAGGGCGATCGGATCACTAGGGAGATTTATCCGCGGATAGTTGAAGTGTCCGAATGAAGATCGTACGTCTTCCAATAAGATAGTAAATTGCCGCGTGTCTAATACGGCATGCTAATACGCATCTACCGCACGAAAACAAAAAAAAGCAACCCGATTAATGCGGAGTTGGCCGCTTAAGAATACAGTAATGTTCTCTGGCGAAATCATATGGCCACCAAATTACCTGAATTCTAGCCCGTTGGACTACTATGTTTGGAATGTTATTTAGCGAGAGTCCAGTAAGTCGTGGCACTTGCTCGTGCCATCAACCAAACGTTAGCAGAATTGCAAAGTATATCGCGGTAAATGATAGTTACCTCAGATACGCATAACCCCGAAGAACGACACTTTTGGCACATGTAAACATTGTGTTGAAATATTTGTTTTCGTTTAGACACAGCCAGGGAAATAGTATAAAAAGTCTTCATGTGGGCGCCCTACTCTGCTGAGATATATATATATATATATATTTTTCGAATGTCACCATCAACAATGGATGGTAACATTAAAAGAATCTGAAAGAAACGAACCTTTTCATTCAGGCGCTACTAACTGATTAATTCATTATGTGTTTCGCTGTCATTCTCCACGACCTTTTTCTACCTCTCGGCCTATTTATTTATTCCTTCCCCACAAAAATGTTTAAATTTGGCTTTGAAGCACTCGTCCAACCAGTTTTGGGGCTCTCATACTGCCAAATGTACTACTACAAAATTGATCTGTCAGTTATCTGAACAGGTGGTACTCCGTCAGCGCACTGACCGTTTTGTTCCTCTATTTCCGGCGTGTAGTCTTCTTTTAGTACTACCAACGCGAATAAATAGTTTTTCGCGGAAGAAGATCTGGCTTAATTCTGAACATATATCCCGAAAGTATTAATTTCCTTTGCCTCACGCTGAGTTGGAAATACCATTTTGCGTCGCTCGTAACAATCCTGTGTAGATATTTGTCATTATGGCCGCGTATTGCCAGGCACCGAACGAAATGTTAAAAGGCAATGCGAAGCCTTATTTCCATGATAGTGCAGTAGTAACGTGCTTGCCGTCTGAGGTTAAGGACACTTGAGGTTACCCAGGCTTAATACCTGGCGTAGACTCTTCATTTTGTGCTAAACGCGTTCATAAAAAAAAAACAATTTTTCTAATTTAAATAAAATATTTTTCCCATTTTTAAGAGCACTTTGCTATTACAAAAAAGACAAAAAAATTAGGTTTATTTCTTTACGTGTTTACTTCAACAAGTTATATATCTGTAAAAATAAGAATATCTTCGTCTATGTGCATAGAGAATATACATCGTACAAGGCACGACTGTTGTTTCGGGTTAGTTCGGCAGTTTTTAACTTCGGCAAAAGGCAAAATAAGGTCGAAAATGCAGTCTTTTTTCAGAGGGCGTATGCATCTTTGTATGCTGAATGTAAGCTAACATTTCATTCACTTCCATTCATCTGTTATCACTCACCAGCCTCTTGGCATAATCATACATTGAAATTTTACTTGCTCGGATGTTACGCCGAGTATAACTAGTTCGAATTTTCCGTAATTTTTAAAATTTCCGAAAATAATTTTTAAAAAAAGTTGCGCCTTTAAAAACAACAACGAAAAAAGATACTTGCCAGCGGGAATTGATTAGTAAGACTGAGCCGTGGACTAGTACAAGTGCTGGATAGAGAACTTATTGATATGGAACATCCGAATCCACTTGAATTCGGCTGTTAACATGCTTGTTAAGCAGCGACAAAAACCGACATCTAATATACGGCATGTGTCACTATAGGAAAGCGTCAACCTACTTGTGACGGCGGCGCTTTCTGCAGTAGGCCTTGAAATCAGACAAAAATCCCGAGCGTGTTCCTTCAAATTCCGCTTCCTCCTCGCGTTCAGCCTCTCGTTCTAACCGTAGGCGAATCTGATCTAACTTCACTGTGCCCGGATCCCGTCCATTTTCGCGAAACTCCTTAAATAATTGAAATATTAACTTAGCGCTGAAAAAACTTTCATTAACCTCGATGATTAGAATGTAAGAACGTCCCAGCATACAATGTATAATAGGTCTGATTTTAGACTCATTTGTTTTCCTTTTATGCTTCTCTGTTCTCAATACGTTCTAACAATGGATGTTAAATCAACAGCAACTACATGGAAAAAATAAAGACGCCAATTCTTCAAACAGATAATAGATTACTAATCTATGTCTAGTTACTGACCAAACAATACGTTTCTCTATGGATAGTTTTCTTTTTGTGCTTTTGCTCTGTCGAATTGTCAGAGATCAACAAGGCACCTCATACTCTGAAGATAGGATCTTTAGGTTGGATCTAACTATACAGAAAAGGGTACAAAGTTAGAACATAGAGACAGAGGGCGCAGCTAATGCAGTTTTTTTGTCGTTACTAAACCTCATTCAAAGGCATTTCCTCTTTTTGCCACGGCAAGGGAGAATGAGAACGAACTCCATCGTTTTCGCCCTAGTCCCCTAGTAGCCGAGTTTCTCCCCTTGTAGCGTCGTTGTCTGCCTGCTGCTCCATCGCTCATCGATTTCAAATCTGTCATTCGTTGTCGCTTGCTTTTGACGTCGGCGTTCACTCTGTTCCGAAACGCATTCCTCCTTGAGACCCCACGGAGTTCATCTCTGCCACGGTTCGCCTTTTTGTCCGTCCTACTTCGCGCCGAAGTCTAGACTCTTTCTGAGATTCAATGTGATTTTCTTCTTCCAAAGGTCCTTGCAGCAACAGTGGAATAATCCGGCTGTCGACCTCTTGCTTTTTCTCGCTTAAACATTGTTGTCGTGGGTACAGCATGACCCTCGCTTAGTGTGACCTTCATTCCTTTTCGTATGGCTCAGCACGGTGGTGTTGCCACATCGAGGTACTTACCCTCAATGGTGCTACCCTCAAACACTGCGCCTAGTGTGGGGTGATTTTATGAACTTCGAAAAGATGGAATTGAAAAGAGACGAGGAGGAAAACGAACTGCATTACGAAGAACAGTAGTTCATGCTCGTGGAACTTCCATCATCAAATGATTCGATACTTTCGAGCAAGAAAACAGGAAATATTCGTCTATGCCTTACCGAAATGTGCCTATTTTTTAGTTTATAACCCCTTTTCTGACCCTCTAATGATACCAATACAATTAAATTGGCTTAGCTCTAATGAAAAAGACTATATCATCTTTTGACGTATTTAACTAGACAGAGCCGCACAAGATAGATATGCCTTGGCATATGCTGTAATGGTTTTTAAGCAATACCCTATCTTTGAGAATAAACTATCTACCCTTAGTAGTTTTCCAGCGTTAACTACCAATTTTTTTTTTAGTTAGAATAATAATCTGCCGCTGTTCTCCTTCCGATAATTTCTACGAAGCGACCAAGTTAATTGCGATATATTAAATTCACTAAAAATCAAACGCATAGGAACACGGTTCTAGGTCTCCGAACAGGCTTTCCAGTTCATATACAACGGCACCTAGCGAGCTCCAAATACTAAGGCGTCAAGTCATTATTTCATTTTATTATATCGTAATTTAACATTAACCAACATTTAATTCAAGCTAGTATATTGAATTGTTCGTTGCTGAGACCTTTGCTAGAGAAAACGTTCAATCGTGTCAAGTCTTTTTTTATATTTCAAGTTCCGTTATGTTATTTTCAATCGCCAGAAATGTCTAAGTATGCAGTAGTATAACATTATCGTATCTTAAAAAGCAACGTATACGTTATAATTTCTGTTCTTCTTTAAAGATGTTTATACCATGAGTCGTATATATGATTGAATTCTCGTACGACAGACATTCGCGTCACAGTTAGCGATGCAGCTATGAATTATAATTATTAGCTAATTAACATGAGTCATAAAATAAATCGAAGTGACATAAACAACGTAGTTTTTGGTCAGGGAAGACGTTTCACAGGCAAACTTGTTATAGATCTACAAAAACGTCTCCAATGCCTACCAAAAAGGACGTGCTTCGCCAGTAACCTTGCTTGTTCACCTAAGAATATAACCCTGTCTTGTCAGTAAATTAATAGGGCTATATCAGTCTGCAAACCCAAAAGCAATGCGATTTTGGCAGATTCTATACCAAAAAGACATCGGTCAATGGGTTTGGCTAGTATTTATTTCTTCATACGACGATGAGATATCATTCCGCATGCCTACGCATATGCTGTACATGCCTAAGAAAATTAAAGCATCAATGCCTAAAAGTTTTTTTAAGCCATGATAATTTACGGGCTAGAGAAAAAAGCAAGCTAAGCATTGCTTGGAGAGTCGGAAATCGTAAGATATTCGGGTTTCATGTGAATTTTGTTTTCTGGATATGAACTAGCTTTAAAAAGGTCTGAGTTATTTGCCAGACATATTTTTTGCGACTGACTGTTCAAAATCTAATAATATAGCCTTCTAGGAGTTCTAACAATATAGTCATAAACTGCTCCTGTAGTTGAGCAAAAGCAAAGTACAGCGACGGCTATTACTCTACCTTTTTTTGAACCGCATAAGACGAACTTTTGTTTTTGCTAAGAATGCTTAGTGTCTCTGCGCTACGTGGGGAAAAGACCAACAAGTGTCGCTCCGAAAACGGGGGAATCGGCACTCGAAACTGTTAACTGAGAGAAGCGTTACTGCAGTGTACAAAATTAAATCAATTGGAACAGCAGTTTTACCTAATAAGCTTTAAGATAAAGATGCTACTACGAGTAGAGGTACAGCAGTGTACAACCACTGTGTACAGTATTTCCCGCATACACTTCATCAGAGATGCATCAGAGATCATGCTGCCATCAGAGATCTCGCCACAGAAACGAAAGGAATCATCTCAGTCCTTCTTCTCAGCTGCGTGGGAGCATTGTCGGTGAATGTAGGCAAGTGTAAGAGGCTCTTTCTTTTCCGCTTACGTTTCCGCTTAGAAAATCTCCTCCAAAGGCCTTTCGTCGTTTATCTCAGTTTGGGAGCATTTAGGGCCGTTTCACCCGCGGCCAACGCTGCCACTAACCGGTATGCGTTTTGAAGCTTGAATCAAGAGTAATGTCGCCGGTAAGGTGTTGAAGGTGTTTAGGGCACCTGTCACTCGTTCGTTTCGAAGTCGCCGTCTTGTTCACAAGGTCGCTTGCTACGTTCCGCCCTGAAGCGGCATACGAACAGCGGCAATTCAGTTGACGGCCCCGCCAACTAGAAGCCCACACGCACACGCAGGTTTAGACAAGCAAAGATCCAGCGCCAGATTTCGCTTCGAGAACATACACCACCGGACATAAGTGGGTGCCTGCTGAAGCCACTCTATCTAGCACGCAATAGCAACACGGTCTATAGGACGAATACGGCTCCAAACAGCTAGCATGGTTCAATGTAATCGGCAATTAGAAAAGAAAATTGCTATAGAAGAGTACAGATTGCTACTCTACCACCATCAATTCAGTAAATGGTGCATTGAGTTTATGTGCCTACAATAGCGCAGTGGCAGTCCTGTTGAACTTGACAGGTCATCCTGCAGGATGACAGCGTTGAAAGCAACGATACACGCGCTCTGTAGTGACCGCACCATGATCTTTAACCTTTTCTCTTCTAAGCTCAGTACATGCGAGTGGGATCCAGTGTAGCGCTATGATTGTAATTGTGGATTATCTCAATAGTTTTAAATGTTGAACACCGGCAAATGTACTAGCCGCGCTATGGCCTTAGCTCACTTACTGAACGATACATTTGTTCATACGTCATCTACTTATCCAACTATGCCTCATAGCAATGCTAGATGAACTTCAATTGTTGCTTGAAGGCTTTTTTGTTATATATATACATATATATATACGGATCTTACTTATTCCTTGACTGGCATCTTCTGCCGCCCAATGGGTTTAACCTTGCGCTCATATAGCCGAAAGCGTGCATATATTTATAAATTGATAGTATTGGACCCAGTAAAAAATCTATATGGTCATTTGAAATTTATTAACACTTTGTTATTATAACAAAATATAGTCTAACTAAGATGTGATAAATTATGAATTTTTTGAACTGCAAATTAAAGGGATATATATAGACAGAGGGGGGTACGAAGTAAAGAAGCTTTTAATGGGCTGTTTGTTTCAAGTCGCATACGTTCATCCGATATTTTTAACATGAGGTGATCACCAGTTCTCTGTAGAACAAAACAACAAACTCATCGCAATGAATATCAATGGTTCGTTTTCGAAATTTTAGCGAAGACCAGCTGTCATTCAACCTTTTACGCTGTACTAATCCCACTAACATTAAAAGCTCAATTCTCATTGTCAGTAACACTAAAAAAGACTTCCATGAACTAGCGCGGAAGATGTCCAGTAGGCTCCAAGTCTACAGGGCTTAAAATCTCATCGAAATGGCTTGAAGAGCCATTTTTAATACACCTAAGTTTTTGAGACACAAATTCACGGCAATTTTAAAGGGAAGTATCAACGTACAATATGGTCATCCGGGTAAGGTTCAGCTGTTTGTCTTTTTCAAATTTTCCGCCTCCAATAAATCCATAATAGTGGTGGATGGTGGTTATATCAAATGAACATGACTGTAAAAAATAAGACTTCTAGCTCATGGAAAAACATGTGAGTTTTTTTTTGCTCATCTGTTGTTGCTCGGACACAGCGTTAGAAAGGAACCATGGAAAACATTTTCAATTTAGGAACACGGTTTTGTGCATATGTACATACAGACATCGAAACTGATTGACTTTATAACTGCGCGTCCTTAGCAGACGGAATTTTGGTAGTACATACTCTATTCTTCTAAAAACCTATGAGTGAAAAGCGTTGATTCTACCCCGAAAGAAACGACGTTGGAAGAAAAGAATGTCTTGAAAATGAACACTCAAGAGTCAAGTTATTATTCCTTCAAGGTCAAAACGCTAAACGGAAACCTTAAACGAAAGCACAGCACGTGAATGACGCAAATGCTTCGAGAACGGAAACTGGAGTATTCA